CCAGAAACCGAGACCTAGAGGACGCAGTGTCTCTTTCCCTACTCAGAGAACCATGGTTACATAAGTAACCTGAGACGTTCCATTTCATTGGAACTTCGAACTGTGTCCTCTAGGGGTCGCTATGGGGAAAGGTATACCCATGCCACCATGCTGAGGGGAGTGCATGCCAGAACCATGGCGAGCACTACGTACCAACTCTACCATATTGCTATGGGAGTCGCCCCTTGGACGTTAGATGGCTGTCAGTGACGTTATTCCCTACGGCCAAAGGCCTAGGCTACATACTCTCTTGATATCCTTCTTGGGTATGAAGTTCCCATCTGACTTGTTCGTGAGTCAGTCACATAACTTGTGGAGTTCATGACAATAATGTAGAGATGGTTTTGCCTGCCGAATTCGCCATTTAATTTAAAAGCAATGCGAAAACTGCTGATACTACTGCGGGACCTTACATATGAATACTTAGGTGTCGTATTCCCATAGGTTGATGGGGATCAGCTGAGAGTCAGCTAATGCGAGCTTGACTAACGTGACCTGCCAGAACTAACGCTACGCTTGATTTTATTCAGGTCTAAAAATATTTATGATGCATATATGTGATTTAGCAACACATAAAACCATGCAAATGATTTAGCTATATTAGCCTGAATTGGCAAGCTAACTATTTTTTTTCCAAAATGGCAGCTATGGGGCAAAGTGAGCCAAATGTTTTGGGGTAAATTGAGCCAGCGTTTTAACTTACAAATAATATATACATATTATATACTGTATATATATGTATATATATATATATATATATACATATATACATATACATATATAATATATACATATTATTTGTAGTTTATTTAATAAGGGCAGTGTACAAGTGCACCAAATCCTTTCTGATAAGAACCAGAAGATACTTTTCATCACATTATAATCATATATGGTATATCTTTCCACCTGTAGTCCCTAATGGCATGTTTGACATTGCAGAAAAGCTACCATGCCAAGAATCTTTTGACTAAAATGTTTATTAGTTTTATGTTGTTTAAGTTAGCTTTCAGAAAAGAAATATGACTTTGTGTAAAAGGAAATTTGATTATTAAATTAGTTTTTAAAAGAGATAAATTATCTTTCAAATGTAACATGGGTTTGAATCAGCTTCAGTCAGATGGTCATTTTACACCCAGATGGTGCATCTCACTGACTCGGCTCAACTTACCCCTAACCTGGGGCAAATTGAGCCATGGGAACATTTTTTTTAAAGAAGCTATATTTTTAGAACCCTTTGTCATAGACACATTCTGATCATTTAAAATGATAGAAAACATCCTGAAATTACTTTAGATACTTTTATTGTACTTCTGCCTCATTTTCCCTCATCTTGAGGACCACATAAGTAAAAAATGGCTCATCTTACCACACTCTCCATTATAATGGAAGTCAATGGGAACCAAAACTGTTTTGGTTACCAACGTTCTTTGTTTTTTTTTTAGAATTTTAATTTTTGGGTGGACTATCCCTCTAATACATAAAGAACAAGAATGATCTAGGATCTAAACTGTGATATCAAAATGCTGACACAAACATGTACACATCTCAGATTGGTGTCTGGCCCTGGGTAGGCTTTAAAAATCCTAGGGAACTGCTTATTAGTGAACACATGCTCCTGCAGATAGACCTGTTTTGTTTGTGAGTGGGTATATGTGTGTGTGTCTGTGATGGAGAGCGAAACAGAACTGTAAAGAGCTCCCCGACCTATCTGTATGATTACCCCCTCTCACATCTCTAGAGTCACATCTAACCCACTGTCCATACAAAATGGAATCTATAAAAGATATAAAATCTCTTCTAACATGCTGAGATTGACCCAGTAAATGCAAGCAGGAGAGATTGAGAGGGGACCGATGAATGGTTTGATTAGAGGGATTAGGGGTCATTTGTCTGATAAAGCCTCCTACTTTTGAGAGGCACCACAGATGGGCATGAATGTCTAATGCACCTAAGGCTCTGCAACATACATGTGCCACCAAAGTGGTTTCCATAGGAACATTAGATCAGAGTGCAACACTCAGTATGAACACTGTCAATTCCCAATCTGAAGGCTGTTTTAACCAAGTTTACTAACCATATGAGGGCTAATGCATATTCTCTTCTTCTCTCTTACTCTCTCTCTCTCATTCTTCTTCAACCTGTCTAACATATGAAAATGTAACCGTTGCTGTGGTAAAAAAAAGACTTGTTTATTAGACATTCAGCCTCTGATATTCAACAAGTGGAGCATTCAGAAGTAGCTTCAGGTGTTCATCAGTTTATATTATTTTATTTATGTAATTTAATATATAAATGAATGATGACAAACATTTTATATGCATAAATAAATGTAAAGAGAAATAAAATATGATTTCAGTTTTTAAGCCACAGGCCAGAAATGAGCTTGCTTTATTGCAATGGTCAAAAGTTCAACATATAACAAATTAAATTCATAGCAAGCCATTTATGATATTTATACTATCATTTTATTTTATAGTCAGAAGCTGTGCCTTATGTCAAACATAGAAAAGTGGCATTCATCAACCAAAGGCACATTACATTAGGCAATTGCAAAGTAGACAGCTCTGATTTAATTTTGTCATTCAGTGTAGTGGTATTCATATTCAATTTGTCAAAAAAGCCTTTTATGATTTTAGATTGCCACCTTAAATGCCATATACCATAATGCCATGTATTGTGTTTTAGTTGAGATTAAATAGTAGACTTTGCATTCCATGTCATAACATCTGGCTATTAATAGTATCATCGTTAAAAGTCTGCCTGCATTTTTATCAGTAGACACTTGCCAGTTTGGAGAATTAAATTAAACGAACTTGCTGCAATGATAAGGCTTGTTTACTAGATGTATCCACTGAAATTCACAAAGTAAATCATTCATAAGTAGCATTTTTAAGTAAAACAATTTCTCACAGTTGACTGGTGGAATGATTATGCTATTATTCATTATTTGTCTTTTAACCAACCTCAATATATATTAAATATATGCAATCTCAGTATCAAAATTACAATTTCATATGCAGCTTATTTATTGTTAGGCAGGGTGCTTTCTTGCTTCTTAGCGTTTAAAATTAGATGAACTTATTGCTCTGTAAATGTCTTAGAGTTTCGGAGAGTTTGATGGTAGTTCGGCCGCAGTGTGATCATCCATTTTGGTGGTCACTGATCCAAGAGCTGAAAGTGCATGAAAGTGAGGGCGAGATGGCGTGTTCACTTGTATGTTTGTGTGTGTTTTCACATGTGCACCCACCTTTCGGTCTTATGAGCAGATGTTTCTCTGCTGAAGATTGATGTGCAAGAGGAAAATTTAAAAAAAGCCTGTTATTTTTCCACTCATCTGTGGGCCTGTGAAAAGTGGGAGGCCCATCTGATCCTTTTAGTGAAGGTGTTTTTGATTCGAGCTAGATTTTTCCCTTTTTGTTCCTGCCGAGGAGAGGCATCCATCTTCGGAATTGAAATGCCGACTTCTCTGACCCTCACCTGCAACCAAAGAACATTCAACCAAACCCCTATTCATATCTCTGTCGTACTTTTGATCTGTTTATCTACTTGCTCATCAGTAAACAGTGTAGACTCTGAGCTCCTCATCTGACACAGGCTGTAATCCTGTAACGTATGCACTCCACTGATGAGAAGTCACTGGTTTTGTCATTGTGTGACTATTGAAAGACAAAGCAGAAGTAGTGATCAGCACTAAACAGGAATCACAATCACCAGGATGAACCAATGAGATAGAAAAAGACCCAGGCCCAGTGATCATTAATGAGCCAAAGAGAGAGAATGGGACAAATTTCACCAGAGAAGAAAGAGAACAAACTGTTTAATTGTGTTACACTTGTTTTGTGTCAGTTCCCAAATATACTAAGAGCCTTGGATGATACGCAGTTGCTGTTTTTGTGAAATGAGTAAATATTATATGTAGTATGTTTATATTATTAGAAAATAAAAACATTAATAATTGTGTTTTCATTGAGATTAATAGATATATAATCACATCTGGCTCTGAAAAGTAGCATCACCAACTTCCGCCTTCATTTTTGTCAATGAATAGTTGCCAATTTTAAGAAATCAATTAGACTAACTTAGTTTGCTGCAACATTTAATTATTATTTGGCATTTGTGTCTTATCGGTTGGAAATAATGGTCCAATCACTGCATACTGTTTTTCTAGAAACCACATTGGTATTTGAAATGTTGTTGGATGACAAAAAAGCAGGATTTTCATTAATGATGATTCTAATGTAATGATAAATTCTTTATCCATAAATGTAAGTGTATGGGGACAAAACAATATTTCACTGTATTTAAAAAAAAAAGGTTTTGTTTGTAACCAATTTTCATAATTGAAATATATGAAGAGCAAACACGTCTACAAATTTGCTGGGATGATAACAGACTAAGTTATTGTAAGATGAATGAAAAGTCCTCCCTTTGGAAGTCGTGGCCTAATGGTTAGAGAGTCGGACTCGTAACCCAAAGGTTGCAGGTTCGAGTCTCGTACCGGCAGGGATTGTAGGTGGGGGGAGTGAATGTACAGCGCTCTCTCCCACCTTCAGTACCACGACTGAGGTGCCCTTGAGCAAGGCACCGAACCCCCAACTGCTCCCCGGGCGCCGCAGCAAAAAATGTCTGCCCACTGCTCCGGGTGTGTGTTCACGGTGTGTGTGTGTTCACTGCTGTGTGTGTGCACTTTGGATGGGATAAATGCAGAGCACTAATTCCGAGTATGGGTCACCATACTTGGCCACATGTCACTTCACTTCTTCACTTCACTTGTTCAATTGCACCTTTTCCCCCCAATTTTATTGGTGTCCCTTGCTATCACAATCCCCAGTTACCAGTCCATTCACTATCCTCAGTCACCAGCCCAGTCCATACGGACTACATTTCCTAGCATCCCTTCTGGCCAACACAGCCATCACCACACCTGCCATAGATGAGCTCATCAAGCCCTGTATAAGAGCAGTTACTCTCCACTTTTTCCTTGACTGGTCTCGTCACTTCACATGTGAGGACTTACCTGGCTACTTTCTTGGATACTTCCCTGTCTTCAGGCAGTCTTCAGTTCCAGTCTTCACTAATCCTTCACCACACACTCACCAGCACCTGCAACAAACAAAGAACTGTTTATGCTCAAGCTAAGTGCTATCTATTAGTGATGCAAAGGCCGATTCATTTCCGCGAACTGGTTCTTTTCAGACAGATCGGCTCATTGAACCGGTTCAAAAAGCCGATTCATCGGTTCCTGATGTCATCAAGCAATAACGTCTCTACGCATTTCTTTTCTAATAACTCAGTAATTTGTGTCAACACATAGGCCTATTGAAACATTCAAAAAATAAAGTTATTTGTGTGAAAGCATATTGCTGATTATTGCCATATAATTCATTTAAGTTAATGGTGTTTGTGGTCAGTTTAATTCGCGGATCCTTTCTGTAAGATACGACTGACTGACCAATACTGACTAGCCTACAACTTGGATAAGATGCCTAAAAGTTTCACACCTACAGCACACATTACAGACTTTGATGCACAAACGCGGATCTGTTCTACATGTCTACAGTATAAATAATGCATAAACATAAACGCCTTGATTTCGCTTAAGCAACTTTAAATATAATATCCATGCACAATAAACTATTGTAAAATGTATTTACATCACTCGACAGAAAGGTTTTTGCAGGTTTAAATAAAATGCAAATTAATAAGTCATAATAAGCATATTTCCAGTACGCGCCTCAGGCTTGCACAGTATCGTCGTCAACTCGCTCATCAGAATCTTCGGTAATCCTTGGCAAACTTCGCCACGGCTCATTCGGTTCTTGTTGAGTCCTCGGTAATCCTCATGGGAGAGAAAAGACAAAGGGCGAATTCACACCGTGTTAAGACTGTGTTATCTTTTATCAGTAAAAGAAGAGTCGAACCATCAGCTGATGTCCGTCTGGTTACTACATTGAAAAAAACAACAAAAAAAAAACAGATAACACCGGTTACATTTATTCATGTTCAATGTCAATTGTCATTCATTAATGTATTCAGCTAATAATTGTTGTTAAGAGCACTGACAATTTTGCATGTCAATAAAACATACTTAATTCACGCAACATGCTGCTGTTGTTATTGTTTTAATGTAAAACTCTAACCGAGGCAACACTCTAAGATGCCTCATTACTGATTTTCTGGAGCTCAGCATCAGCCACCCCGAGTGATCCCATTGGCTCAGCTAACTTTTAATGGGTATTATTTTTAGCGCCTGATTACAATTCCTGCAAAATCGCGCTTTGATTTATGTCGTTTGAACTTCGTTATAATGACCATTAATGTCTTTTAAATTACATGTTTCATACGCTAGTATCCGAAGCTATAGGTTGTGAAATCAAACATTTCTAGTTTTTATTGTTTTTTCTTTTTTTTTGTTAGCTCACGTACTAGTATAGCATATAGCTACCCGATTAGCCTGCTAGGTTAGCTTATACACCACGCATTTGCACTTACCATACATATATTCACAACGAAATAGTAACATAAGTGTTGACTTTTGATCAGGCATTTAAAACAGCTACCGCCTTGGTCCTAAGCGGACCCGATTTCGAGGGGGGACTCGATTTCTCATGACACCGGCTGGACTGGTTACTTCTTGAGAACCTTCTCAAAAGAACGATTCGTTCAGGAACCGAACATCACTACTATCTGTTTTCATTGATTTACAGGTGCATCTCAATAAATTAGAATGTCGTGGAAAAGTTCATTTATTTCAGTAATTCAACTCACCTGTTTACTACACTGCTTCTCCGAATTACCTGTGAATAAAGTCTTCTCCTTCTGTGCCTGACACTTGCTTTTATTTATTTGCTATTCTTTACTAGTTATATACTGCTATTCATTTGAAGTGGCTTAATTAAATTAATTATATATATATATATATATGTATATATATATATATATATATATCACTCTCATTGTTCATTGATAAGCAATTACATGTATAATGAATAATTGCATATATACATTTATACATATACCATTATAAAAGTGTTTACAATGTATAATGGATAAATAATCCTGGAGCCTATAATATAATATTCATAAAAAAAATAATATTATTCGTAAATGAAGTGTTTTGTCACATCAGGTTTTTTTTTTTTTTTTTC